GGCTGTGACGGCTGCGGGGCCCCAGCGTACGTGGAAGTATACTCCATCGGTATTCCGGCCGACTGTGTGAGTGAGTAGCCGTGAGGACTGCTGCTGGATGCCCCACCGTGGCCCAGGGCTAATGGCGAAGGTTGGCACGGTTGAAGCACGATCTTCCCTGGTTTTCTTTCCGACTGCTTGTCTCGTTTCGGGGTGTGCTGAACCAGCTCTCGAGGCTCCCCGCATTGTGCATTTACTATTGCCGAAATAGACATAGAAAATGACAGGATGCGCTCTGCCGTTGATTGCTCGGAAAATTTGAGGTAAAGAGGACCGTGAGGCATAGGGCATAAAGAAAAGGAACACGAGACAGAGAAATAGTTGCGGCGATAGCAAGTCCACTTTTCGTCCACTTGGAAAAATCCCTTGTGAATTTTCGCTTGTATCTCAGGTCTAATTGTTTGATTGCCCGAGATGATGGGGTGAATGACATTGGTCTCATGGAACGGAGGTGCATCCGTCATGGGCTGCGCCAAGCGCTGAACAGGATCGATCAGCAGGTTTGTCGACTGCCCAAAAAGAGAACGCTCGACAGGACCCTCGAGTGCTCTTGGTGTTGTCGTATAAGGAGCCATCCTACTCATCTCGGGTAGGGCAGACAATGATGGAAACGTTCCGCGATGAAGTGCATAGCCTGAATAATTGTCGGATCTCCCCACCGAAACTGCAGTGGCTTGCGATGGTACGCTAGGCGACATGTTGGTCGGTGGTTGACTAAATGGATCCCAAAATTTTCTTATCAATCAACCCATGTTGAGAATGAATCATCGAGTAAGTAGACAGACTTACAGCGCCGGAGGTACTCGATGGGATCTAAAATCGGAAATTCTATCATAGGATAGGCCGGGTGAATGTGAGTAGATAGAATTGGATGTGGAAGAGAAGGTCTCTGCTAGGAAGCACACCCATTAGCTACGAGCTCAAACAGCCAAAGACAAAGAGCAGATGGCCAGGGCGAGATGGAGACAAACCAGAGCACGAGTCAGTAGGGCTCATAATCATGGTTGGCGACGCTGCGTAGCTGTGAATCTATTTAGTCATGATGCTGTGTCGGTGGGGCAGGTGTCAAAAAGTCTGGAGAGAATGGCGGCAACGAGGGCCAAAATAAGATAGGACAACAGAAAGGCCAGGTATAGTTCATTGGCTTCCAACGCATCATGATTGCAAGGCATGTATAAGCGTATCAGAAGCGAGGCGAAGGGTCCAAGGATGTGACCAGGGAGCAACAAGTCAATGCACTCTGCAAGCAACAGGCTACCAGACCCAAACCTTTCATGAAATAAGGATAACAGGCCGAAACGGAATATCAGAAGAAATTGGGAAAATGAACATGAGATAATAATAGGACAAGTATTCAGAGGTTGAAAGGAAGAAAATCCAATCCAGAAAAATAGAATAGGATAAAATAAAAAGGACTAATCCAAAGAGGCAGAAGCAGCATGACAGCAACACAGAGAGAGGGTGAGTTGAACAGCGAGCTACTCGGTAGTCAGGCTGTTTGGACAAGAAGGAAATGCTGCAACTAGTGGCTGCAAGCGGGACAAGTGGAGCACGAGGATAGCCTGGATTGAAAGAGAACTGAACTTACGGTACATCCTGCAGTGCAGTCTGCTGTGTGTTGTATCGCAAACCGTTGGTAGCAGGTATTGAGACAGGCTGCGCGAGAGGATGGCCAACGGCGCCACCTCTCCGGGTATTTTCTTCTTCGTCCATTGAAAAAGCTGTCGATCCAGAAAACGGCCGTTGCGCCCCCGCGTAGTCTCCGTCAGTATTGAGGGGACCATCCAGTGGAAACGAGTTCTGCAGAAGAGTTGCTGACAATAAACCCATGGTTAGCAGGGTGGCTTTGGACAGTTGCCAGCAGGGGAAGAAAAATGGAGGAGAGCATGATGAAATAGATAGAGAAGGAAAGACATAGAGAAATACTATCACCACATTGGGTCTCTCTCTCTCTCTCTCTCTCTCTCTCTCTCCCCGCACGCGAGAGAGAGAGAGAGAGAGGCAGTGGATGAGAGCGAGAAATGAAAAAGTAAAAAAAAAGAAACGGAAGAGAGAAAAAAAAAAGACAAAAAGGAAAAAGAAAAAGAAATTAGAAGAAAAATGAAAAAGGAAATGAAAATGAATAATAGTAATTGACAAAAAGGTACAAGAAGATTTAGCTTCCGCCAGACCAGCATGGAGGAAAGGGTTCAATTTCACTCCCTGTCAGCCAAGGAAGTAGGAAGCAGTAACCCTTGATGTCATGCGAATTCAAGGAAATCGGGCATTCTGAAATTGTGTAACCGAAATAGAAGCTTGAAGTGTAGGTAGGGAAAAAAAAACAAAAGAGAATCTTAACGTCACCCTTCCCACGGATGTAGATCGGCTGCCTGTCAGAAGTAATCGCGACTGGGGGGGAGGTCACGAGCCTAGTCGGCCGCTGAGACCGCATCATGGAATTGACGGAAATCTTGCCAGGTGCCAGGGTAAGGAATGTCAGGAAAATAAGAGACAGAACCACTTACAATGATTCATTGGGAAAAGCCACAGAAGGGTAACTACCTCGAAAGATAGAAAACCTCCTTAAGAATAAGCGAAAAATAGAGAGAGAGAGAACAGGGGAAAAAAAGGCCAGCAATGATAAAGGAAGAAAAAGAGTCACAAAGATCAATAGATAAACTTTTGAGGATTTAGCAAACTAAGCTCAAAGACGGGTTCGTGCCTGGGGCGTCTCCGATTTTGATTGTCAGGCTAAGCTGAGCAGCGACGAAAGGACCCTGTCAACACTAGACCTGGATGACACTAAGTAGGGTGAGAGCGCAGCTGTTAGACGCTGTCAGTGAGGCCTGCCCATAAGGCTCGCAACCGCGCGGTTTGGAATAGGTCGTCGCTCTTACCCGGAGATATTGTCCGCCTTCAGCGTTCTGGTCGAGCAATAGGATCCTAGCTTCGAGGCAGCAGCGTTAGGCTTATCTATTAGAGGTACACCTGCTAGAGAAACAAAAGGCATAGAGCAATGAAATCTCAAAGAAAACGGCCAAACCCATCAAGCAGGCCTGTCGCTTAAATCCCCTGCGAAGAGATATAAAATGAAGGGGGGTGGGGTTTGTGAAATAGAAGCATTAGACCAGTGAAAAGAAAACGGGCTGAGAAGAGCTGAAACCAATAAGCAGCATGGGTGGGAAGAAGAAGAGAGAGAGAGAAAAAAAAAGAAGCATGAAAGCAGCATCACACATATGCCCTCGAGGACAGTGACTAAGAAGACATGGAGGCCTTTGGCAGGTTTATGAACGGTACGGGAATATTGACGTAGACAATGAACGGAGCCAATACACCCCTGTTGCTAGCCATCGCGCTGCAGATGTCCAGCAGGTCTTGACGAAAAGTCTTCCAAAACACCAAAGCTTGCAGGTTTCATGCAGCCAGTGACATCTCCATGACTCATGTCATGGCAATGAGAAGCATCACCAGGAATGACACTGTTTCGGCTCCGAAGTAAAGCGTAGTTCCAAGGCCGAACTCCAAGGAGGAGACTGAGAAGGGAAAGACGAGAGGCACGGAGACTCCCGATGCGAGAGAACAGGATACAGAGATGATGAGACTCACTGGAATGTGCTCAGCTCAGCAGAGGGAGACTATCTTGCATCAGTTGATGCAGGTTTTCATTCTCAGCTGCAACCCTATGTATATGTAGATCGGTTGTCCCAGAAAGTCGGTAATCCACGTCAAGAGGACGGCGGCTGGAGACAATAGAGTCCTGCTCCTCGGGAGATTAAATAGAAGACCTGACGCAGGGCTCGGAAGGTCGAAGATTGTTGAGACCGTTCTCCAGTGCCGAATGATCCAGAGGAAAAGGCAGGGCTGAACCGACAGTTGTTGCGAGGGAACTGCTCGCTTGATATTGATTTTTGGATGTTGGATGAAGATGCTTTGCTCACGGTTCCTCCTCCTGCCCACACCCTGAAGACGCGCACTTCAGTCTCCGTTGTCTACCTAGGCTGGCCCCTTTACGGCACCCAATGAGCGACCCTGGTAGTTGTGCGGCGGAAATGGTCTGCAGAGGATCGTTGTGCACAAGCCCTGAAGCTCCAGGTTACCCATTTAAGCTTGAGAACAAATACCACCCTCGCCACGAGTTTGCTGTTGAGCTAGACCATGCCAGGGCCCAAAAACTTTCCTTGTTCCAACTTCACTGTTGCGTAGGTCAAGAATAAAGAACAGTGGATTACAATGGGTGCACCTGGCCTTTGAGAAGAAGAAGCTTATGTACTCCTGATGTGCAGGTTGAGAGATAAAAGCCTTGTGCTGTTCATTGCTGATCTTGCTCCTCTGGCTTGTTCTCTGTTGATACTTCTTGTCTGTCTGTCTTGCGGCGCGCGTGCCCTCAGTTTCCACCTCCCTCTCTTCAACACGTTCTCGTCTGCGAATTGATGCGCATCGATTTCTTTTCTTTTTCGACTCAAGGACGAAAAAGGAAAGAAGGTAAACCCCTCAACCAGAAACAGAGCAACGACCTTCGAGGGAAAGATTGACGTCTCATCCCAACTAGTGCAGGAAAGATTAAAAAAGAAAAAGAAAAACGCGAAAAAAAGCTGGACCCTGTCAAAAACCGTTGGAGACACACAATATTGGTCAGATTCCATGTGACATCTCTCTGACCCAAGTCCAGGCAAATTTAGCGCTGCACAAACTCAGTGTGGAATGAACTCCAACTTCGACATAGTTCAACCGGCAGCTTGATTGGTGAACTGTTCTATACTCCATACAGAACATTACTGTTGAAGTCAGCTGTCCTAGTGTGTGAACACCCGACGAACGGCAGAGTGCAGCAAGACCGAATAAGATGGTACTAGAACCGATTCGCGGCGATCATTGCCCCGGGAATCCGTGCAGACCCCAGTCCCATGATGGGGATTGTCGATAATACTACTGAGCTTGGGCAGATGCAGATAGCCAATAGCTCTCAGGGCCGTCGACGAAGGGTCGATGTACGCCGTCTAGCCATACCGTGCCAGGTAAGTGGTCCCGAAAAAAAAAAAGAAGAAGCCATGTTCAAGAGAAGTCTCCTCTTTGCGATCACTTCCCTCGCAATCTTTGAATATTCTCAAGGCACGAGCAACAGCGAGTCTTGCATGAATAGAGGGCGATCGTCAGATTTCGATCCAACGGTCGATTTTGAATACCGTGACCCGTGGTGGTTGTCCGTTCACCGACATAGCCTGAGAAAACCATGACTTCAGATATGCAGCCTGTATAAACTGCAGTAGCATGGATAGCATGCCTCTTTTGATTCGGTTGGATATTTTGACCGAATCGCATGCACTTCAGCGACAATGACCCCTTTCCAGTCCTACCGATTCTCGGTGTGGAGCGTACATGTGCTGCGCACAGCATGTTTTCCAGAATTGATTAGGCCCACTGCCAGGTAAGACAGCCTAAGTGACTTCACTGGATCTGGAAAGGAATGGAGTTTGCGGAAGTGGGGGATTTTTGTTTTTTTGTTTTTTGTTATTTCATCTGGACATTTTGGTCAATGTTTTCTTATTCCTTCCCCCCTCTTTCTTCCTAATGGGAGAGGTTTTCTGTGGCTGGATGATCGGCCAGACCTGCAGGAAGCTAGTTGGTCCAGATGTGATATGCACGGTGCTGAAATAAGCCGCCAAGAAGTCATCATTGGTAGTGTCCGAGTGAGATTTTTCCCTCGAAGCCAGTCATTGAAGGACTGCAAATTCTGGGTATAGAGTCAGTCCCTAGTGGAGGATGGATGTCGTGCAGGACGTGCCCGCGGGATGCGGCGCGAATCCCATAGTAACCTTGAACAGGGGGGTGGGGGAGGGGGAGGGGGGTCGAGAGTCAAGACAAGACTGGGACGTGAAGGACGTTGCATTATTTTAAGCCAGGGTTAACTTGAGAGCTGGGCCCGCTGATTGGAATAATGATCTATCGATGGACCCATGGTTGAAAGGAGATACGGTATGATCTCACGCGCATCTCAGCATGAGAATGAGATCTCTCTACTAGAGAACTCTGCCGTGCCAATGCCAATCTACAGAATCAAACCCATTGAGATCTTCAGGACGAACAATTGGACATGGTGATTGCAGGGATGCATTTTCCACAAACGTGATCGCGGATACAGAAGCAAGAACGGTTGTGGGAGACTAAATCGAACCAGAGAGAATCACATTACAGATGTATAGGTACCGACCGTACTAACTGTTCATAGTAAGTGTTAACTAAGTAGTAGGAGTAGTGTACTGTACCTTAGTCTATCAAAATTAATTCAGAATTTCAGAATCACTGGGCCATGGGCCATGGGCAAATCCTCTTAGTGCCGGGAGGGTTCATGGCACGTGCAGGGAATCTCTGGAAAGGGATTAGTGCCATGCCGACTGGTACCTTCTTATTTACAACCATTTACAACCATTGTTATTATTGCGCCAACAACCAACAACCGATTCAGTCGTCCGTCTCCTCCACAATTTTCTGTTTCTATGGCTCATCATGATAGTCAGCGCCAGTGCGGTGTCATCTTTCTTCGTCAGAGCAGGAACTGAGCTCCATTGGTCCTGGTAACGATAGAACGATGGAACGAAAGCCGGGTACCGACAACGCCCCGAACATCTCCTTCCTCTGCTACTCCGTACTTTACCAAGATATGGCTGACAGGGCTGTGTCTACCTAAGCAACAAACCTTAAAAACTTCGCATTTGTTCCAGTTACGGAGTACTGGGCCAAGACTTTATCGGGCTGCTAGGTAATTTCCAGAGCACCAGCTCGCGAATCAGAGAGGTCAGTCCTAACGGAGTCATCATTACGTTGGCCGATGGACATAACAGAGCATCTGCGAAGGCATTTGTCAGTTCTCTTTTCTCTTATTCGACTGGAGTCCAGTCCCGAAAGACTCGGATTGAGGAGCTGTTCGTTTATTCATGACCGTTCCTACGTTAAGGTTCGAACAAGGCTCTAACGAGGGCCCAGTTCTCTAACCTGGGTGGGAATGTGTTGGACCTGTCTCAGAAGTAGCATCGCTACCAAATTGCGCCCACTGGTGCCTTTCCGATTAATGCACGGCTCTGGTCCTTCACAATCAGAACGCGATCCATTCCTTTTGCCTGCTGACTTTTACCCGTGCTAGTGGCTGATACGTCTCCCGATGCAGCCTCCTGTGCAACCACAGGATAATTACAGTACATTTTCGAATCCATGCTGGGGCAAAGAAGCCTGTCCTGACATGTTTTGGGCTGCAGACGGCCGATATTACGGTTTGGACTATCAACAAAGCCCCGCCAGGCCGTCGTCTTGCCGATCGAAGCAGCTGCACTTGAGGCGAGTCCAGAACATTCGGCTTTAATCTCCGGGATTCTCAATAGACTTTACAATTGGATGGATCCTTGACAGAATCCTGGCTCTATTACCTGAGCTGCTATGCGGATTACAATCATCTCTTTGCATATTAGCCTTTCTATCCGATCATTCTTACCGGGCAGCCGGTTCTGGCAGAAGTAGCCTTCCGAGAGTATCCGGTTCTATAGCTCAATTCAAGCTGTAGCAGCTTTCTTCAGTGGTCGAGCTAATATGCGGTTGAGCATCATTACCAGAGGAAATATACCGTGGCGGACGCACAGGTGCTACTACCGCGCGTGTTCTAGGCAGGAGCATCGTTGGTTTCTCTGGTAGCGTCGGGTCCGAGGGTATACCGGTTCTTCCCGGTCCACTTGTGATTTGCCCGGTTGAACTGAAGAGCTAAACCACAGCGACCTCAGCACACTGGGCTGTCCTTGAGTCGATGCCACTGATCTCTGGAAATATCGAAGGAGCCAGGCCGCTATTGCTCATTCTTGAATGCTGCGCATCTGGAGCCAAGGTGTATAGACGAAACCCATCTCAACAGCTCCGTCCTAGCTGTATCCCCATCCTTGTCTGCAAACCCTCTTTGATCCGAATCGTTCTTCTCATACCTGGCGATACTGCGGCTAATACCTTGTCAAGGGAATTCGGCATTTGTACCGGAAAACCCAAGTTAGTATTGTTATTCCTTATTCCGCGTGGCCGTCTTCGTTGGTTGGGTTGCTATCAAATCTGGCTTGTTTGTGTGACTCGACGGGATCAGGATCAGTTGCTGCCTGGAATTGGTATTCTGGGTATTTTCCCGCTCGCGGCGAAGACTTCTTTCGAGGTCAACGCGAGCACCAACTCTAAGAGCCGGCCCATAACTGAAAATACTGCAGAAGGCGCCAGGTTTGGCCGGGGAATTCACCCTATCATGCCCATCCACTCAATTCGATCGGACGCTCGAGCGGTAGTGTATAGCCTTGGAGTCTCAGCAGCAACGATTAGGGCCATAGGACCGACGCTGATCGACGCCTTCGAGGCATTTGCTCAAGGGAATACGAACCGAAAAAAAAGCCGAGAAGGTATGATGCCTGCTGGCTCTCAGCCATGGGATCTGCTTCTTCGACCAAGTCGAACCGGATAGGACGGTCGTTATACTTGATTGGGTAAGGTTGGTGTAGGTGACGTTGATGAGAGTGGCGTGCAAGACGCCCATTTGGCGAGACGGATATGCTGAGTCCCGTGGGGATTCGGCTCTTCCAGTGAATGGCTAGTGCCAGCTCAGTTGTCTCTCGAGGGTAACACAGATAGGAGCTCGCGAGTGTGTTCAGAAGGAGAGCATATCAACAGTTGACGGAATTACTCGCAGGGCGATACACAAGACCATTCTTGACAGAACTATCCAACACCGTATCCATGCAATGTAACCAATGTCGGACGGAGTCAGCACACCATCCACATACCTTCCGAGCAATAGCCATTGGTGCACTTGCGAAGGTAGATTCTATACATCTCCATCATGCTGATTTGGCGTGACGCCTCGCCCCAGAAAACAGGCATTGGCTTATCTGAATGGCAGACGGCTTGGGCGGAGGTCATCACGCACTGATGTTGATACTTGTTCGTCTGGTCATGCTTACCCTCCTGGGCGTGAAGATCGACCAATTCAGATGTGGCATGACCCCGATCTTGCCACTGAGGAGCGCCTTATCCTGCGGCATCTACCAAAGAGCCATGTTTACAAGGGATTCTTGCAGAGAGATAGCGGGTTGGTGTGCGTGAAGCGGATGGGGGAGGGGGCAGCGCTAATCTCAGAAGCTCCTGAGTATTATTGATCCTTCTTTGCCATCTGGCCTAGCCCACAGGCCATTTCTCAGCCTGACAGAAGCTTGTATACGGCAAGCATATCCTTGACAAACTGACTTCGATAGTCTGTTCGCCGCAGCCTGTCAACGCCCATCCGCCACTTTCTCTGACTGTGGGGGCCTATAACCATCTCCCAGCCTTTCTGGCCGATTACTGGGCTAGAGTGCCGCCCCCGGCCCCCCTTCTGGCCCCGTCCACGGATTCTTTTAAGAAAATCCTGGTGGGTGTAGGGGAAGAACAGCTGGCAATGATGTAGATTGACTCATCGGACAAAGTTCCATAAGCAATTGCTGCACAGTGGACCAGGGGTGAGGCCGAGGAGGGGAATGAATGCATCTACGAAGAAGACTAACAGTCCTGCCGGAGGCATTTGCGGAGGTTGGTAGAAGGAATTAGGACTTCTTGACCCTTCTCCCTCCCTTTCCCAGCTTGCGACTGTCTACTCCTACGTTCACATGATCGTAAAGGCCACGTCGAACCAGACTTTCTATCATTGGGACATGCCTACAAGCCCACGCTAACCCTGAATGCAACGTGATCTCGTCTCAGAACCTAGTCAAAAAGAGCACTTTTCTTTATGCAAAGCAAAACCTCGCCTCCCTCGAACCATCCAAGGAAAAAGAGGAAGAAAACTCAACCAAGCTCAAGCGGGGGGGGGGGGAGTGGAAGACCACAAAGAAGACCATCAAGCAAGGAAACCAAATCCCATGACATGAAACCATGCAAAGATATCAAGAAAGTGGATGAAGAAGAGGATGACTGGAAAAGGAGGCAACTGCTTCTTTTTTGGGAGGGGTTTCCCTTGCTTTTTGTATAGACCTCGACCAAATGTGCGCACACAACAACACATATATATATGTACGCAAGAAGCTTAGCAGAAAAATCGACACTTTGAAATCCTTTTTCAGTATTCATCATTATCGATCGGATCATACAATACAAAGAAAAGGAAGTAGTAGTTGAGGGATCCTTGAAGTCATCATGAAGGAAACCCGCTTCTTGACGGAAAGCGGCCAAGGTGTCGTGAACCGGAAATAAGATGGGAATGAGTTTGAAAGGGGGATGGTGCGAGAGTTTAGGGGACGAAAAAACGAGGTGATAGGAATCTAAGTAGCCCGCTTGGCGAACTCGACGCGCAGAATAAGGTGGCGGTAACCGACTGTGTAGAAGAGGTAGGATGTTAGTTCATTTTCGTTTTCTTGAGGGGCTGAAGGGGGGGGGGAAAGCTTACAGCCATCCATTTTCTCGCAGGCACGGGCAGCATCGCTGCGGTCCGCGAAGCTGATGAAGGCGAAACCCTTGGCTCTCTGGGTCTCCCGGTCTCTGGCCAGGAAGACTCTGGTGACACGACCGAAGCGTTCGAACAGATCCCGCAACTCGCCTTCCTCTGCCAACTCGCTGACCTGTTGCAGTTGTTAGTTTTTGAGTTTGTTTGCAATGGGGTGCGAACAGTTTTCCCCGGTTTCTTTCCGCGGGAGGTGAGAATTCCCTTGAAGGGATTTGAGTGAGTAGGTGGGTGTAAGCGAATGCGTATGCGTCGTCACCGTCGCTAACACAGACACACAGAACCGGCCTGCTCATCCCACACCCCACCCACCCCCGCAGAAAAGAGAGGAAGGGGGAAAAAAAAGTAGTAACGCAGCAAAAGCAAAGAAGATAACTTACGTTCGTAACTCTCAAAGTCGCCAGATCGTCCTTCTCGAACTTGCCAGCCATGCGCTCGCCGCCGCCGGCGGCACCCTTCCGTAGATGAGGAGGCACGTAGCTGCCGGAGGTCGCGCCCAGGCCGCCGGCGGCGGCGGCCCCCTCGTCGGCGCCGCCCTCGACGCCACCGGCACCGCCGGCGGGCTCGTCGACGGGGGCCATGGTGTCCTTGAAGGGACAGCGCGCGGTGAAGTGCTCGCCGCTGCAGATACGGCACTTGACCTTCTTGTCCTTGAGCTGGTCCTTCATGCTGCCCTTCTCCGGGTTCTTCTCCTCCTCCTGGGCCTGGATCTTCCAGTTGATGCTGGGGCGGAAGGCGATGTTCTCACCGACGGAGGTGGTGTCGAAGGAGGGGCCCGGGGCGTGGCCCTTCTCCAGGCCGAACTTGGCCCAGCTGCGGCGCTCGGCGACCTGGGGGTTGACGTGTTCCCGCACCACGGTGGTCTTGATGCGGCGGGTGACCTTCACTTTCTTGCCCTCGTCGTTGAAGCGGTACGAGACCACGGTCTTGGTGCCATCTTTGTTCGTCGTGATCTGCTGTGCGGGGAGGGCGGAGGGGTCGTCAAACTCCTCGTCGTCGGCCCAGTCGGCGCGGCTAGACAGGGTAAAAAAATATTGTCAGATGAAATGGGGTTCGATGGAAAGAGGGTTCTTCGCTTTTTGGGGGGTCGAGCGAAAATGACAACTGGGGGCTTTCGAGATGCTTACTTTCCTAGCTTAGACATTGTGGGTGGTATGTGTGATGGAAAGAGGGGGGTTGCGTATGGGCCTTGGGTTGCTAGTTTTCTGGATTTCACAATGAAAGGCGAATGAATCCGTTGTGGATTTGTTCGCGGCGCGGCAATTTGCAAGTGGCGCAGCCTGCCGTGGCTGGTGCCTTGGTACCTGGTCACGTGAGGGCCGTCGCTCTTGGGCGAGGAAAGACATGCGAACGAACCATTAGATGAGGCTCATCAACACAATGTTTACGCCTTAAGGACAGTGAACCCTCGCTTAACTGCTCTGCTCATATAATCAGTCATTTTGTAGACAGATAATAGTCACAATTGGCCACACTCGTCTACAGACGTATCTTAAGTCAAATCAACTACAGCCAGCCTCGACGGTATACTAGAGTAATGTTGCAAACGTGTCGAAAGCTGACGACGGACTTCAAGAGAACACAGTAGATGGTGTGCAGTAAGTAAAGAGCTGAGATGTTGACAAACTTACTTACCAGGAGAGTATCTACTAATCCTCGACTCCTCAAATATGACTGGTATATGAACATGCGCACTGCTACCTCATCAAGCAACCATCATTACAGATGCTCTGGGACATGCTTCCATCACCGGGTTACAATTCTTCGCATCTGGTACTGCCTGAATGATGGGCCATGCTGGCTCTATCCTAGCCATAATTGCAAATTGAAGGCTCGCCGTAGAGGCAGATGCACCGGGAGGAACAATCTATTATCGATTACAACATGAAGTTATCCTGCATGGCCTGGAAGAGGCATCAAGGTCGAGTAGTCGTCGTTGATGTTCCAATCGCAGGCTTCGATCTGGGTTGGAGTTAGTGCAAGTCACCCTGGATCTAGATGTTACGAGGGTTTGCTATGCCTAGGATTCCGAGGTGGAAAGCAACAATGGGTGTCTACAGATCATGTGCTGCAGGAACGACATTGCTAGACAATGATAACATCCTTAGATAAATTCAGTCTCGGAGCAGGAACTTTCATGATGACTTCATTCGTATTCGACTTCCCGGCTCATCTGCACGGGAGTTATTAGAATCAACAATAATATCTATGTACAAAACACCAGCTAGCATGACGGAAGCCGTCTGGTTCCACTTGGGAACCACCATAGACAAGCTGATTCCTCATAACAGACATGAAAAAAAAAAGAGACGATAGCCTATTCCCAAGAAAACCCATTCCCAAATTGTTGTATATAAAAAGACAGTAAGAAAGTTGCACGCATCTACCGACCGAACTTTTTCAGCTCGATGGGTCTGACGATAGCATGCACGACGAACGAAAACAAGATGGCCAATTCGAAACCGATATCACCACCATGCGAGCGCTTGGCGATGGGTCCAACGAACCAGGTCTCACTCATACCGGTGACCATGCCGACAACGCCGAAGGCAAAAGAGATGCAAGCCGCGAAGCCGTAAGGAAGCTTCTCGGGCTTGTCGTAGTGCTCGGGACGGTATCCACCAAAGCCACGACGAACAATGAAGTGGTCAGCGATAGCGATACCGGAGTAGATAGCCAGCCAATAGGCGATGAAGTCCATCAGGTTCTCGAGAACTTCCTCAAAGTGCGAGTATCCAGGGATAGCAACGGCAACAGAGACGCACGAGGCCAGGAACACCCAGATAAAACGAGGAACTCTCTGAGTGTGGTGGCTCAAGACCTGAAGAGTGAGAGAGACGGAGTAGATGTTGGGGCAGTTGTTGGCGATAATGGAGAGGGCGAGGATAACCAGACAGAACTTGCCGAATCCGCCGAGAGGTTCCACAATAGCCCAGATGATGCCTCCGTTTCCAGATTGGGCATAACCAGTTGCGTACTTGTTGTTTCCATCGTTAACCATCGCCGCAGTAGCGACAGCGATGCCCAGGAACTGAGTGAAGAGGAGAGGAGGGATCAAGCCACTAAAAGCAGCCAGGAAAACCTTGCGGCGGCTGCGGTCCGAGGGCTGATAAACGGTATAATCAGCGGCATAACTGGTCCATCCTGTAGCGAAACCATAGACGGTTGCACCATATGACAGCACAGAGCCGATCTCAGCGGCCCCAGTGCCCATTGGAATGTTCCAGAAATCTCCAGAGTGAGCAAACATGCCGAAGACAATCATGAAGACGATGAAGGTTGGGATCCAGCTGTAGAACTCATACAAGTGAACGACCTTGTATCCAGCGAAAGTGACGAAGAGTGTGCAGACGGCGATGATCAAAATGCCTGCAAAACCAGGAACGTCGCTGTTGACGGCATTGAGCAACTGGGCGCCGACAATGGAGTTGGCTGCAGACCAACCCAGACAGGACAAGACATTCAGAAGAGCGACTGCGCGGCGATTGGGTTAGCACACCGTGTCTGAAGCTTAGAGGCGAGGGATTCTTACTGAATCTTGTTGGCCAGTACCCAAACCAGAATCTGGATAGAACCATCTGACGGAGACCAAAAGCGGGACCGAAGCAAGAGAACCAGCAGACAGTCAAGACACCGATCAGGTTGAAGAAGAGGCAGACGAGGATGGAGTCAACGAAGCCAAGCCCGAAGCTCTCAGGTCCCAAGATACCGATAGCGAACGAACTAACCACCATGTTGGCTGCCAGCCACTGCGAGGGGTCAGTTTGGGAGGCGGTCTTGTGAGCACCGGCGGAGAGCCAGCAAGACAAAAGCATAATGCAGTAAACTAGGTACACACCATGCTGCTGATGTTGAAGTACGAGGTATCCGTCCGTTCGTTCTCGGGGACACGCTCGACACCTCGTTGTTCAATGTTGAACTTTCCAGCCAGCCGCTGAAGCTTTGCATAGACCGAGTTGCCGTACATGAAGCTTTCCCCAGGGACGGCGCCATCGCTGCTGTCATCCATAGGCGCCTTGGCCACCTGGGGAGCCTTTTCAAGGTCCCGTTCCGAATCGATACCACCGAACATGATGTAACGCGTATATCTCAACGGCGTGTAAGATTGCTGGATTGAAAGGGTTGAGTACTAAGAACTCGAAATTGAGGGTGATTGGTATATACAAGAGCTTGAAAAGCTCAAGTATTGAGTATAAACTCAAGGGGGGAGGGGGAGGGACGAGGAAAGACGAAACGACGACCACATCTTTCTTTCTTTTTTCTTTCTTTCTCTGTAGGAGGGGTGGGATCGAAGCGTCTAATAAGTGATTTTCTGAGAGGCATGGCGAATAATTTCTTACCCACCACACCCACACACACACACAGTTACGCCCACACCAGTCCGAGACGAGCGAAGGCCCACCGGATCCAGATCGATGTAATGATCGCTTCCGAGTCGGAAAACCGCCGCGACCGCGTAACTCAAAGAAGAAACGGGAAAAAGATGATTAAGAAAAAAAAAAGAGAAAAAAAAAAGAAAAAAAGAAACCGGCCCGTGGATTCAGGATCAGTGTCGCGTGTTGCAAGTGAGAGCCCATCGTATGGAAACGGTGCACTGCACCGGTTTCGAGAAGAGGTGGAAAATGCCCCACAGAACCAACTGGGTCCTGGTTGAGCCCTAGTGCGCACAAGCTTATGCCCTGTCCCAATCATGCCGTGTAATGCTCAGCCACAAATTCTTTCATTGGATGGAAGTTGGACTTAAGCACCACATGGATTACAGAATTCAACAGCCCTCGTGGCGGGATTGGCCCGCAAAACTCTGCTACACAGTGGGTCTGTGGCAATGAGTTCCACCCCTTGATAAGACCTCGTCTGTTGATAGGCAATAAGGGACACTATCTGGGCTATAACCCTGAGTGATTTGATAATGATAACAGTCCGTTATGTATTGGTCTTAGTTGCTTGCTCGTACATACAGGTCAGGTACCGTCAGGTCTACTACTAGATGAGGATGGGAATCGTGGTCGAACAACTCAGCTTGAAGTCGGTCCTTCCTCTTGCTGCCAAACTGCCCTCCAGTCCTTATCTGTCGCACTCTATCCATATCAGCCTTCCCCTTCCATCTTTATCTTCTCCTACCTCAGACAGGGTGAACATCTGCTTCATGCTGATATCATGCTTCTCATTATTCGGCCATCGCCGATGAGTCTTGACTACTCATACTCTCCTGGGTGATCATTCTTGCCACTCACGCACGTATTCATCCTCAGTGACTTGACTAATGGCCCTCTGCAATACAATAATACGCTGGTCCAACGCATGGCTTGTGCTAATAAAACTAGACATGTCCGTCGCCAGACTATGCCCGCGGCTCCATGCGTTTGCGACAGGGATCTGGAGTAGTGGGCAAACCCCTCACTGAGGGTGTCCAGCATTCTCCAGTCCTCCCGTTCCAGTGCATGGCCCTTACGGCACCATCCTATCTCTTCCCCAGACTATACGATTACCCCACGCCTTCGGGAACCTACGTGCTTGCGGCCTCTCTATGTGACAGGTCGCGGGGATCGCCGTCATCCATCGTTATCAGATAGCGAAGCTTCAGACAAGCAATAGCACCAAGAGATGCGTGCGACTTGGCGCATTCACCCCCGGCTCATCGACGCTGCTTGATTGGAACGTGGCGGTTCATTTCGCAGCTGGCCACGCCTCTTGGTGATTGGTCGCCTGCAGCATGAGATAAGAACGTAGGAAGTTAATACTACTAGTAGTCCCTTAGTACTGCGACTTCACCCGTCCAGGCAGGGATATTTCCGGGGGTCAGCCATTGCCTGATACCAGTGTTTAGCGCAAGAGTTATTAGATTGCTGCCAGCTCAGCTACAAGGGCCACGACGAAATCACTGCATTGTCCTTTCTGGACATAACCTAGTTCACCTACCTGCGATTAATCTATCCCAGAGATGGCGATTTCGCATCCAACTACTCCGTAGGTGAGCAAGACAAAGGAAGTTCTGGATGCACTTCGGCCGCCATCTCCTATAGGAATGTCGACATAGTCAGCTCGGAAGGGGCAGGTCTTGCTGGATGTTGCAACATGGCAATTTCCGTCCCCTGCTCAGCGGCATCTAGCGTCTGGAAATCTGTCCCCAATTAGTATAGCATTCCGACCCAATTCATCAATCCGTGCGATGGCTTTACACCTCGTCGTCTCTGGTGGCTTTGGCAACTCTGTCGTGCTCTGTAAGTCTTCAGACTGTCATCAACCAGGCAATTCAGGTACCGCACTGTACCCGTACCGTCGAGCATTAACATGTGGATCTCCACGAACTTCGCACTCCACCAGCTTCCGGTGCAAGAAAAAACCACCCCACTCCGCTGCCTCCGTTCTCCCGTAATCTTCCTAGCTTTTTGCCTCCAATCGCCCAGACCAGCGTAATGATGACTCGAGAGTCGAAACCGTCGGCTTCTGTCACCTTCCGGCCCTCTGAGACGCCTGGCAATTCTGATGCTCCCCAACATCATCCCTTCGCCTCTTTTAATCTAAGTATGGGGAAACCTCTCAGGGCCACCGTCATGAGTCGCGTCGATCATTCGCTCCGCTCAGGATGTGCAATTGTGCATAAGGAAGCAAACGAGGACGTTACCTCAATTGAGCAACTCACCACCTGTGCTTGAAATTGTGTTTTGTCCCTGCTCCTACATACACCAAAACTCGAATTTTTATTCAATTTCCCGATGAACCCAAGCTCCTTCCTTCCCGTTCGCGACAAACAGTATACGACCGGTGTTAGGAAGAAAACGCCTTGCGGGAATTATCCATTTCATCCAGCAAGCCAAGCCCACTCAAGGCAACCGAAACTTCGGTAGCGGCGCCTCGTTTTACCATTGGTGCGAGCTTGCTTGCTGTCGGAGCTGCCATTCTAAAAAGAGCAAGCATGAAGGGAGAAGGAAAGGCATCAGGGCCCGGATATGCCGTAACGTTACCAAGAGCTAGACTACTAAATGCAATCCACAATTGAACCAGGCACCAGGATAGACTGCAGACGGTTGTCATGTTCTTGATGCCGCGAAACATTGGCTCTTCTCGACTCGCGCTTCAAAGGACACTTTACTTGCGGAGTGCATGAAGGCGTTGACTAGCCTTACAATGATCGAGTTCTTGATATGGATCCTTCCTCCAGCCATTCCAAACTGCCCACCTCTACGAGATGAAGAAGAAGACAAAAAAACATCTGGACCCGCCTTAAGATCCATCTAAACCTCCTCCAAGTCCCCATTTAGCCTTGGAGATGAATTTTCTTCTTGCTTCTTTTCCCGAGGAAAACTCTCTCTCTCATCAGGCTTGGCGGGCGCGCGTGACAGGACAGCGCAGCCGTTTCCACTGCAGGCACCACAATCCTGTGCCTTGTACCCTCTTCGGCTCGGGTTCCCGAGCAAACTTGAAGACCCGAGTTTCTCATTCGCGTGCATATAGCATTTGGTCCATCCTATCACTTTCATTCAATTGAGTCAGGTTCCCCAATTGAACCTCTAATCATGGAGGATGTGAGAGCTTTTTCCACCGAGTATTTCCTCTCTTTCCGCTCCGTTAGTCAGCGGGTACTTTGCCGAGCCGATGGAAGAACAGAACTAGACCCGAACCGCTGGCACTGGATCTAATTGTTCTTGCTGAGCGGGCTGGCCGATAGATCAGTCATTCTGTACCTTAGTTTCGGGGTCGATGTGATTGGGCTGACTAGGCGGTTGGTGGAAGATTTTTGGCATGCTATACTAGGTAAGGTACGTACCGCACATAGTACCACCACCAATACCTTCAATACGGAGTACTATGTACGCGAAGGTGGACTATCGGCAGACATGCAGGGAGTGTTGCGTGGTGGTGTAGCATTACCTAGTCTAATTGGAGGTTTCCTCTCAATTAAACTGCACGAGGAAGAGGCCTATCGATGCGATGGGTATCCGCATGGAGAGACTTCCGTGGACGCCAGCAAGGAGACATCCCGGTTAGTGTCGGCTGTTAGCCCTCGAACTGGCGGACTGCAGCCGCTAACATGTGCGTCGCTGTCTCCTTCATGTAGGGCACTAATAATAAGATGGCGTTAACGGCGTGGGTTAGAGTCAAGTAGCCGACATTGTTCGCTTCATGGGATCCCTGTAGCGCCAGCTCATCAATGCGAGATAGCATTTCAGGATCACTAATAAATATATGTAACGACTATATCCACCGCGCATATAGGTCGACAGATCCGGGGGCCGATGTCCGATCCCGTGCATCTGAGATATAGTTGCGTACCTTATATATATACATAGACTTCTGACTCCCTTCCGCTTGACCCTTAATACCTAAACCATCCACAAGATCTACTTCGTACAAACTCAAACCACACTCTCTAACAGTCGGCTGTGTCAATCACGCATCATCTATGTAACAACAACCTATCCGCCGAGTAGACTGATTACGTTCCCGTAGACCCAGCATCTAGCGATATGAATCTCAACCCGGGATCTCATTTCCCGCGAGGTAGGCTGGCCCCCGACATCGTTCCTGGAATCATACCACATCCAGGCTAGCCTGCATCTCAGAAAGTCTAAAATCCGAAGAGCCATTCCTCAACGAGTCCATTTTCTCCGACTCCTCCGAGAAATGAATCTTAGCTCTAAAGCTTAACACCGACATTGACTTTTTCTTTTTGCCTGGAGGTTCTAAAGCTATGTACTCTAAACCTAAGACGCCAACGGAATGTATCCGAGGCGCGTGCCGCTTCCGCAAGCCCAGTTGTCTAGTGTCGTCAACGTGTGAAAGTACGTCCTCTCCTTCTTTCATCGTCCCCCTTTTTCTATTGCGACAAGTCCTCATTCTCATTTAGAAAAGGATCGGGACATGTACACGATCGCCGGAGATCGGGGCGATACCCCCGTCCCGTGCCCGTCCTGACTATCCACCCATCGATGTCCTTCTCCTTGTCACGTTCATGGGATTGCATCGGCGCATCCTTCCCAGAACGAGTGGTTGGTCCGTGTAGCTTTTGCTCCGGTAGACTCTGTACTGCATGCATTGCTCTTCTTACTTTCTGGACTCGTGTCCGCGGATTCATGCACTAGACATCGACCGGCTGCTTTGGGGGGCCCTTGGACGGTCATGAGCCGAATTGGCGCTGGGTGTACCTACGTCGCGAAGTGAACCTTGGAGTGAACCGACCATTGGTGCCATTGCAGGACCGAGACCTAGTCTCATGCTGAAGTGGGATACGTCGTCGTTAATATTCGTCATAGCACAACTATGATGTCGAGGATGGATGATGCAAAGTTCCACAGCACGATAGCCCGGCGCGAGTATGAGCAGCCTGAAAATCCGAGGTCCATTGTAAGCCTGGCCCAAAGATGAAATAGGCTGCCAACGAGCGGTCTTCGCAAGCCGCTCATCTCATGGCAAGAATTACCTGTCAAGGTTTCCCTCAGCACCCCAGTGTAAGGAGTGGTTGCCGCCGCCGCCGCCGTGATCTTCCTGCACTCTTTTCAGCATAAATTTACTCGGTGGTATTTATGACATGGATCGACTGACCCGGAACGGTGCCAGCGCAGCACTCAGAGCCTAAGAATGCCGATCCCTACTACGGGCCGTCGGCTCGCGAGCACTAAGGTACCGCACCGTGTCATGGCTTGGGGGACACCGCAACAGCGAGGGTGCAGATGCCCACCCGTTTCCTTTTGAACCCTGAAAAGATAGCGTAGTAAGCCACCGACAGCCCCCAGAACTTCAAGCAGCCCAACCCCTTTGTGCTTCTCGTATTGCGCCAGGGTGAGCCCCTCTGTACCCCAGAACCAGGCGCTTGTTGGTGTGTGTCAGCCAGGGGACTAGCGAGCATCGCCTCTGTGTGTAGATACATGGAAAATGCTCGTCGAGTACAGTAAAAGGCCGAAAGTACTCTATTATGCAAATTCAAAGTTCCTCAGCTTAACATGTATCGCAGATCAGCCTAGGGCTGCATGTTCCACCCGGCTGACTGCTGATCGGCGGCATTCTTGGTCTCATCACCATTGGCGCATCTTTGGGCGAATCGTGACAAGTCGGCGGAAAGCAGATGTTTCTGCAGGTTCGGGGCACGGTGTCTATGCTGTCTTTGACATCTTCCATTGTACTGTCGATGGTTAGGCGGTCCGCAGCGTGGGGGATTTGTTGAATTATGATTCTTGAAGTGACTCATGCTACCAACACATGCGGAGGTCTGCATCCTGCTGCACTGCACCTACACTATCACTATTATTTAAAGCGCAAACGAGTCCCCGTGTGTAACTAATCACTTTGGCCGCTCAGTACAAGATGTCGAGCGTGGAGACTCCTCGAAGAGATCTTTATTCCTCTGCCATGCCATGGCGGCTTGTGTTGTCGTGAGTATCGGAGCCTGTTGTCAGCAAATGCCCGTCTCGAAATTTATTGCCATTCTTTGGCCCCGAAAGTGTAAGTCCTGTGAGATCATTCCGCGGATGCGAACAAGTAATGTACTGTGCGGTTGAAGAAGGCAGCCTATGATCCTGTCATGAATAGAGTTACTGAATCCGCAGTCCTGGGGAAGCGGGCAGTGGTAACATAACTGCTTGTATGGCTGTGGGGTGCGTGTGCTGACAGAAGCCAGATGTGCTCATGGGCATTCCCTGGTCCAGTATCAGTGTTCGCTTCGACCATGAACGTGACGCAAGAAATGACTTGCTGGACGGGTGGAGACGTAACATCTTTCAGGTAGGCTGATCCAAGAGGAAGGAAACTCGCTATGCAGGGACCATCTGGGCGAAGAACTGAGCACATATACATATTCAGCTTATTCCAACTTATTTGGACGGTCCATTTTCCCGACGAAACCAAACGTCAGTCTTATAAAGAGATGTGTTTATGTACTAGCAAGTAGTCACCCAGTCGATTGAAGCTATATCTAAGACAGACCTAAGGATTTCCAACCACTCAGTGGGTCGTAACCAATAGCTATAATGCGTATGATAGCATCTTCGAGAAGCAAAAAAAGCAGAATAGCACAGGCCAAGAATTTTGGAAACATATGCAACATAGGTATCAGGCAAATTGGTATCTACAGTTTGGCAAGCATCTTGTGGCCGTTCTGCAACAAAGCAGCGGCATCCGTCACAAGCTCGTCAACGATCGCCTTGGCGGATTTTTTCTCGTTGACCACGGCAGCAACCTTACCCATGAGATAAGGGCGCGCGTTCTCAAGTACCGAGTCATCGACATCGTCGGGGAGATTCTCCATGTCGTGCTCGACGGGGATGATGCCCTTCGAGGTCAGCTGCTTGATCTCGTCCCGTCGGTTCTCCTCCCAGTTTTGGATGTATTCGTTATTGCGGACGCGGAGCGGGCGACCCTATGCCTTGTTAGCCACATGTCACTCGAGGGTTCACATTGGAAAGGTGAGTGTACCGTGAAGATGATGGTGCGAACGTTGTCCTCAAAGCCAGCGGTACGAACAGCCTCCTGGTGAGCCTTGGGAGCGCCGGCCTCTTCGGAGAGGATGAAGCGAGTACCAATCCAGACTCCCGAGGCACCCAGCATGAGCGCAGCAGCGACGGAGTTGCCGTTGTACAGACCACCGGCAGCGACCACCTGCACAGGCTTGCCAGTCAAGGGGCTCTTCCGGCCCTGGCACAGCTTGGCCACCGTGGGGATGAGGATGGTCGTGGGAACATTGCCGGTGTGACCACCTCCTTCACCACCTTGAGCGCAGATGATATCGGCGCCGGCATCGAGGGCCTTCTGCACGTGCTTGGGGTGACCGATCATGTTCATGTAGAGGATGCCCGCACCGTGCAGCTTCTCGACGACATGTTTGGGGGGCACACCGACCGCCGAAACGAAAAGCTTTGCGCCACTCTCGATGATGATATCGATCAGCTCGTTGAGCTTGCCCTTGGTGTAATCGTAGCTGAAGAGAGACAGGATTAGCGACTCCGGTTCTTCCCACAAGACGACCATGTCATACGATCCAGATGATCGGCAAATCACATGCGAAACTAGTCCTACTACTCACTTGGTCTTCCGAGCACTACCGCCAACCTGGGGAAGCAACAGGTCAACACCAAAGGGTGCGTTCTGGTCCTTCAGAAAGCTCTTGAGTTCGGCAATCTGTTCGCGAAGCATGTCGGGGGTGTAGCCGATACCCCCAAGGACTCCCAAGCCACCGGCGTTGGTGACCGCTGCGGCCAACTTGGGCCCAGCGGCCACGTTCATTCCTGCCAGCAGGATGGGGTGGTTGATCTTCAGAAGATCGGTAAGGGTGGTACGGATTTGCTCTGTATATTGAAAGTGTGGTGGTTAGCAGGGAGGGTCTTGAAAAGTCGTCTGGGGGTACCACAGCTGTCACACATGTGACAGTGGTAGAATCCGGGGTAGGTAGCGACGGAAGCTTACGAGGAGAAGCCATGTTTGAGCTGCAAAGTGGGTATCGCTAGATCAAGATAAGATGGAAATTGATGTGGGATGGAAGACGCTCAGGAGAAGTATTTAAAAGGATTTGAAAGAAGGTAACTGTGACTAGAAGTCATAAAGAATTGCAAACAAGGAGGGGGGAGGGAGAACCGAGGAGTGAGGATTGCCCCGGGGGTTGTGCCTCGGTCCAGTCGAGATGATGATCATCGATCAGACGGACGGCTACCTACTCCCGCCTCGTCACACTTGCCTCAGGCCATCCAGCCATCAAGGGTTGTTGGCCCGGAGCACATGATTTATTTAGTGTACTTGTTCGTGTTTGTGTAACTGTGTACAATCAGCCTCAATTCAGCGTTATGAGCAAGCAGATACTGAGCACAAAGGAACTCTACTATACTTTCATATAGGAGAGCAAGCAATCCAAGCGCATTACCTTTTCGTTGAGAGTTGCAAGTACTGTATATACTAAACTAGATTCCTATGAAACTTCAACAACTTTGTTTTTCTACTTGAAGTTTAAAGTAGTACTGCTTTTTACTTATCGAGTGGCTTCAACTTTGTGACCGTGCGCTGGCCCCGATTAGCTGAAGGCAAAATGTGGAAATGCGGAGAGAGAGAGAGAGAGAGAGAGAGAGAGAGAGAGAGAAGCGGCGTCGCGGCAGGATTGAGCTCCATGCCTCAGGCACCGACTGCATCAAATCAGCTGACTGAGGGGGCGCCAAAGTCTCGCTCGGGCTTCTGTCGCTCTCTGACGCATGACGTATTCCGCTCTCCCTCTCCCACGCATTCGCATTCGCCGCTGGTAACCTCTGCTGCATTCCGTCCTGGGCGCCTGAAGAATGGCATATCGGTCCTCTTCCACTTGGTATCGCAATGCTGCCACCTTGAATACCGCCCTTCGGTCTTCCGGTTCACTGAGCCGGCTCAGTGGGGCCTCGATTTGCTTGTCCCAGTCATTCGGACGGCCTGGTGGAAGTGCCTACTCCTCGAGTGTAGGCTCACCGAAGAGGCAGGTCTATTTGCCAGTCAAAGTTGCCCGTTGAAACTAAATCTAACCCACGCCCCTCATAGAGAATTGTCTACATCTGGTATGGAGTCCCTTAGACCCACCCTCGCAGTCCAATGGCCTGTTGATGCTTGTTTCTAGAATCCCTTAGCGTCTAGTGAACTTTTTTCCCTTCTACATCGCAGTTTTCATAGCCCTAGCTAACCCCTAATTAGGACATGTACAGTCCCGACCTTCTTTGGTGAGACGGTCTCTACTTGCATCAAGACCGAGGAAACCCGGTCATGAAGGCTTAGCATCCAGACCTTCCATAAGACGGGTTTCAACTAGCCGACAGGCGCTGTTCAACGCCAGCATGGACGCCCATCAGCCCCCAATGCATCGCGCATTCATCGCCTTTGGTAGCAACGTAGGAGACCGCATCGAGATGATTGAGTCCGCTTGTCGTGAGATGGAGCGAGCCAGTATTCGGGTCAAGAGAACCAGCTCGCTCTTCGAGACAGCTCCCATGTACGTTCTCGACCAGGACCCATTCATCAATGGAGTGTGCGAGGTTTGTCCATCTCTCTCTGCCCATAAATCCCCAGAAACAATGCATTCTCAATGGTTCTTAACATCGATCTACAGGTAGAAACCAGCCTAAGCCCCATGGATCTCCTCGACACCCTGCAGTCCATTGAAATCGGCCTGGGCAGGAAGAAGCTCATCGACAAGGGGCCCCGATCTATTGATCTGGACATCCTCCTGTACGACCAGCAGATCTTCTCCCACGAACGGCTCAGCATCCCACACCAACTGATGCTGGAGCGCGACTTCGTCCTTCGCCCACTGAGTCAGTAGGTCTTCACCATGATGGACCCTCCTCAAGACACCCAAACCCAAGCACAAACAGAAAAGCTAATCACCACCAGACTCATCCCCCATGAACGCCCGCCCTTCCCCGGCCACAGCACCACCTACCTCGCGCACCTGAAATCCCTCGCCCCGCCCACGCCCTTCCCCGTGGCCACCACCCCGATCTCCTCCACCTTCCCAGCCATCCACTCCACAGCCCCGAAACGCCGCACGCACATCATGGCCATCCTCAACCTGACGCCGGACTCCTTCTCCGACGGCGGACGCCACTCGCCGCAGGACCTGGACGCGCTCACGACGACGGTGCGCGACATGATCCGCGCGGGGGCGACGATCATCGACATCGGCGGCGAGAGCACGCGGCCGGGGTCGCAGCCCGTCGGGGAGGCTGAAGAGCTGCGGCGGGTGGTGCCGGCGATCCGGCACATCCGGACGGCGATCCCGGAGGCGGCGGGCGTGGCCATCAGCATCGACACGTACCGGGCGCGGGTGGCCGAGGCGGCCGTCGCGGCGGGCGCCGACATCATCAACGACGTCTCGGCCGGCCTGCTGGACCCGGAGATGCTGCCCACCGCCGCGCGCACCGGCGCCACCGTCATCCTGATGCACATGCGCGGCACCCCGGCCACCATGACCCAGCTAACCGACTACCCCAACGGCGTCGTCCAGGACGTCGGCCGCGAGCTGCGCGACCGCGTCGCCGCCGCCGAGGCCGCCGGAATCCGCCGCTGGCGCATCATCCTCGACCCCGGCCTCGGGTTCGCCAAGAACGAGCCCCACGATCTCGCCCTCCTGCGCGACCTGCCCCAGCTGCGGACCGGCGCCGCCGTCGAAGGCCTCGAGTACTTCCCCTGGTTGATGGGGCCGAGCCGCAAGCGCTTCGTCGGTCGCCTGACCGGCGTGACCAAGGCCAGTGAGCGCACCTGGGGCACGGCCGCCACGGTCACGGCCAGTATCGCTGGAGGCGCCGATATCGTGCGCGTGCACGATGTGAAGGAGATGTGGCAGGTCGGGAGGGTGGCGGATGCCATTTATAGGGGAGTCGTATGAGATTCCCCCCCCCTCGCCCCAAAAATTTGTTTGTGTATAGGATTTGTATCTGGTGGCTCCGACTTATATAGACCGAAATTGTCCTAAGTGCGGTTGCATCCCATGAATCGAAAGAACCCAATGCTAGGCGTTTACATTGATGCGGTTTCCTAATACTGGCAAGTGACACTACTTATATGCAACGAATATACAAGAATCCCAAGGAGCGTTTCGAAGCTGGTAGCGAAATAATTTTTTGACGGTAATTTTGAACAATGGAAAAGAAAGAAAAAGCAACGGCTGACGAGCAAAGGCCGGTCTGGTCTACACCGCATCAAGTGATGACGGGGTCTAGCAGCCTGCGAAGCACTGTACGTCCGGATGGAAGTCGACCGGGTTAGTTGTCTGTCTAGCAATGGTACGAATCTGGGGAATAGAAAGTTCATGAGGATGTAAACGCCACATGTGGAAGGAGATCGAAGATAGAATTGGCTAACACAAAAAGATCAAGATGGGTGCGAGAAGCGGGGAATTGAAGGCGTTAGGTACGACAAAAAAAAGGGACTCGTTTAGCTGTTAAGATAGCTGCGTATAGCACCTGTAGAGCAACAATTTGTCAGTATGATTTTCCTGCGAAGAAAGTGGGTAGAACAAAGACTTACCCTGTAGCTTGACGGCACCATCTCCAACCAGCTGCGTCAGGTTCTCGAGATCATCACCGGCTGTGATACCGAACCGACGCACAAAGTCCTTCGCCGCGTTCTCGATGTCTCCATAGGTGTCACTCTCGGCGGGAAGATCGTCCTCAGGGCGGCCGAAGTAGGTGTTGCTAGAGATAGCAGTAGCTCCATCGAATTGACGAAGACGCTCTTTGGCCTCGGCTTGGGCGTTAGGATCGAAGCGATCCCGTCCAAAGAACTCATCCGACGAGATGCCCTTCTGAGTGCCAAATCTGGACTTGGCCTGTTTCAGTTCCTCGTCTGTGAGACTATTAGCAACCGATACTACAACTACAAATCGACAAGAGAACGAACCATCAGCAGCAGATCTGGTAGCAACAGCGCCAAAGCCCAACTTCTTCGGAGCAGGAGGCTTCGGTGCGCCAACAGTCTGTCCGAATCCCAGTCTCCCGATGCCCATTCCAAGGCGCTCAACATCACCGGAGCTACGTTCCTGAGATGTCCGCGAAGGGTTGATGGGGGTAGGGGAGGCAATCGGCGCGGCGGCGGTGGTGGCCTTAGCCTTGGACTCAGCCTCAGCCCGTTCGGCTTCGGGATCGTAACCCAGTTTCTCGATGCGCTCAGCCTCTTCCTTGGCCTTTCTCTCCGCCTCGTCGAAATCGATCATGTCCGCACCGCTAACGATCTTCTTGGCCCCAAGCTTGGGGGCCTTCTTGGCGCCCAACACACTGCCCTTCTTCGCAGTTGCGGTCGAGGAGGTCTTGCGAACAGCAGCACTGGCCCGGATAGCGGCCGGCGCGGGAGAGGCAGCAGGGCTGTCCTTATCGGAGGCGGAAAGCGGGGATTTGGAGCGCGAGCCGTTGGCACCCGAGTTCAGGAAGGGCGATGCGGTGCGACTCACGACGGGAGGGGTACCCGTGCGGGAAGGAGGGTTGCTTGGCCGCTTGATGGACGGCTTGTCCCACGAGGAGAAGAAATCGTCATCAGCGTCACCGGCCGGGGTGCTGGAGCCGTTGGACGAGGTGCCGACGGGGATGTCGGTGATCACCACTTCTTCGGGATACCTAATGAGGTAGCGTACGATCAGACCCCATACTGTACGAATTGCTATGGGGGATGTGCATGCAAGAGACTCACTGTTGCGCATCCTGAGCGGCCCGTCTCTTCAGCTCCTCCTTATACTTGACGGCGGCATTGCATGTGTACTTGACCTTGGTGTCCTTGCTGGCCAGAGCGGCAGACCCTCCATGCGATTGGAAGTACTTAGTGGCAGACTCGTTTCCACCGACTTTCATCATCCGGAGCTGCTCCCATTGCCATTCTATGCGCCAGTCGTTAGCATCACGATAGGATTGTTGGTCAGGAGTTGCGTACGGTCGAGGTTCGTGGAGCGAACAAAGGAGATGTGGACGCCCAGGTTACGATGATGGGCCGAGCAGTCAAGGCACAGGTAGATACCAAAAGGCACGGAGGACCATGTTGGGTTCTTGGAGCCACAATCGAAGCAGATCTGTGCGGAATCGAGTCAGTACTGAGATCGGTTGCTAGGCGGGGAGGGGTACGGCGCACCTTGTTTGCGGGTTTGAGCTTGAGTTTCTCAAAGATCTTTTGAGACTCCGCCTTGGAGGCAGACATGATGGCTGGTGTTGAATAGAAGGAGAAGACTCGGATTAGGAGACAGAATCCGAGTAGATGTCGAAGACAAAGGGAAAGAGGGGGTAGGGAGGGAGATCGGTCGGAGATGAGGGAGAACGACAGGATCCAAAAAGCAGCCCGGGAGGAGCGAGCGAACGTGGTCGGATTGGGACTGAGTACCACCCCGGTATTTTTCACTTTAAGCTAGTGGCACTTCTGCAACAACCATACCTTGCTCGTTGTGGCAAACACAGGAGGCATACAAACAAACAAGCGCGAGCTTCGAAGAAAAAAAAAATCCCTGGCTCAGCTAAACAGCAACTCAGTTGACTGCCACATATCTCCTCACCTAGGGAGTTGACAGGAGTTCCTGATAGTAATCCATGGAAATCATACCTTGACGTAGCGACTACCTACAGGACTGTGGGCGGCAGACGTATTGCAAATACGAGTATGCAACGGCGGCGGCTGAAACCAGGCCAGGGCCCTTTCGCACGTGACCCACTCCGATTCCGCACCCCCACACGCTTCTTCTTCCATTCAAGTCAGCCTTTGCCGTCGCCGAATGGGATCCATCCAATCCATGGCTTCCTGCTTCATTTCTGCCCGGCGGGAAGAGTAAAGATTGCGCAGACAACCTCCGAACTTGTGCTTCGTCTGCCCATGTTCCCCATCTCTCAACCACAACAGCCACTCTTCGTTCCATGAGGCCTTTACTGGTACTCAGCTGAACTAGCCCCTCACCACAATGCTCGCCCACCTCCGACCTAACCCTGCCCTCTTCCGGGCCTCCTCCTCCACCACCGCACACCTCCTGCGTCGAGCGCTTCCCCGCACGACCGCCCTCGCGCGATACTATGCGACCTCAGGGCCCGGATCCAACCCGACCCCCAAACGAAGGAACGTGACAGTCCTGTCCGACGATGGCCGGTACGAGTGGGGGGAGCTGAGCGGTCGGGAGAAGGTCGCGCGGGCGACACAGCAGTCGGTCAACTTCCTCGTGGTCGTCGCTGGTGCCGTGTTGACGGTGAGTCTGTTTTTTTTTTCGAGCTGTCGCTCGCACAATCACATCACGCCTGCTGCGTCTTCTGAACCGAATCTAACAGCTTCATGTATCAGGGTGGAGTGTTCTACCTCCTCTACACCGAGGTCTTCTCCCCCAACAGCAAGACCTGGCAGTTCGAAAAGGCAGTCGAGCGCATCAAGGACAACCCGCGGTGTACGGATCTCCTGGGTGATCGCCGGGAAATCAAGGCGTACGGGGATAGTACCTGGAGCCGATGGGCTCGGAACCGACCGATTGCGTAAGGCCATACATACCCATACCATACCTCGTATTCTTTTGCGAGGAATAACGTCCGGAATGCTAATTTGCATGTGGGCGCAGGACGTCGGTTTTCCAGGATCGAATGGGCCGCGAACATTTGAAGATGAATTTCCATGTACGTTGTTTCTCCCCGTGGAGTGGTGGTTTCAGCCCGGGATTACATTATTGACTGTCTGCGTGGTAAAGGTCGAGGGCCCTCTCAATACCGGTATCGTGTTCGTGCATATGATGAAGCCCTTGGACCAGTATGAGTGGGAGTACCAGCTGCTTGCCCTGGAAGTCAAAGGTGAGTGCGAGTGCTTTTTTTAGGGGTAGATTGGATAGGTGGATTGACTGACATTTTTAGGCCACCCCCGAGTCGTCCTAGAGCAGGCACGTGAAAAGCCTGGAGTCGGAAAGGCGCTCAAGATCTTTGGCATTCAATGGCGATGAGTTCTTGCATGCTTGTTGCTGGAAGGGAGTGTATCTGGAATGACCCATCTACAACTCTATCCGTGAGCTCAGACATGGTGAAGATTGACGAGGAACGTCTAGAGCCTCTCGCCATTCTTAGTACTATCATGATTTTAAAACAGACCTATATACCCAAGAAGAAGGAAGTCCATCTCTACCGTTCTTTCCAGTCCACCCACAGCATACGCAGCTAGACCATCTGCTCCGCTTTCACTCCTCGGTAATTTTACTCAAGCCGTGCTTGGTATCGTATACTAAATGACCAAGAACAAGAGCACATTTCTCATTTCGCTTCAGCGATCTATATACAAAATCATTCGTAACATATCATACCCATCAACTATACAATCCGGGGACCCTCCAGAATAGTCTTGGCTTCCTCCGTCCGCCACCAACTCTTGCCCTCCTCACCGGGGAATGCGAACTGATCCATACTCTCGGGCTTCATCTCGACACTGTACCCAGGCTCCAAAGGCGTAACATAGTAGCCGTCCTTCACACTGGAGGGGTGCACGAAGTGCTCGTGCAGGTGGTCCACATACTCCAAGACACTCTTCTTACCACTGACCACCACGTAGTCGATCGTGCTCAGGTGCTGGGTGTACTCGGGCAGACCGACACCACCGGAGTGAGGGACAATGGGGACGCCGAACTTGCGGGCCAGCAGCAAGATGGCCAGCACCTCGTTGACACCACCGACACGGCAGGCGTCGGCCTGGAGGACGGTCAGCGCTCCCGCCTGCAGGAGCTGCTTGAAGACGACGCGGTTCTGGCACATCTCGCCCGTGGCCACGCCGATAGGGCCGTGCGGGGTGTTCTCGAGGGCCTTCTTGATGGCGGCGTGGCCGAGGATGTCGTCGGGGGAGGTGGGCTCTTCGATGAACCAGGGCTTGAACTCGGCGAGCTGCTGCATCCACTCGATAGCCTCGGGGACGGACCAGACCTGATTTGACACACCGTGGGGTTAGTCGCTCGAGCTTTTTGCTTTGACCGATGACAGACAAGGGAATGAAACTAGGCAAAGGCAAGCACATACCTGGTTGGCGTCCACCATCAAAATGTTGCCCTTATCGTAACCGATCGCCTCACGGGCAATCGCCAACCGCCGGCGGTCCTCCTCGACGTTCGCGCCAACCTTCAACTTGAAGTGCTTGTAGCCCTGGGCCACACTGTCCTTGAGCAGCGCCTTGAGCTTGTCCTCGGAGTAGCCCAACCAACCGGCACTAGTCGTGTAGGCCGGCACGGCCTGGCTCTGCTCGGCCTCCTTGATACGCTCCTGCTTGCCGCCCTCGACCTCCTTAAGGAGAGCAATGGCCTCCTCCGGGGTGATCGCGTCGGTGATGTAGCGGAAGTCAATGCAGCGGACGAACTCCTCGGGAGTCATGTCCGCGACAATGCGCCAGACAGGCTTCTGAAGAGTCTTGGCCCACAGATCCCAGAGCGCATTGACCACAGCTCCCAGGGCCAGGTGGATGACACCCTTCTCGGGACCGATCCAGCGCAGCTGGCTGTCGGACACCAGGTACCGCCAGGTCTTGCCCCAGTCAGCAGTGAGCTCGTCGAGGTCCTTGCCAACGACGAGAGGGGCAAGGAGCTCAATGGCAGAGGCGACGATCTCGTTACCGCGACCAATCGTGAAGGTCTATCTTCAGAATTAGTCTCGTCTTGGGGGCTTGTTTTGGTTCGCGTAGGCGACGATCGGCTTACCATGCCATGTCCCGCGTATTCGGAATCGGTGTAGATGATACAGTAGGCGGCAGAGTAGTCACCGGCGGCATTCATAGCATCGGAACCGGTCTTGTCGAGGGAGGTCTGTCATGAACGTGATGTGGATTAGCAAGCTGCGGGGGCAGGAGGGAAAGAGTAAACAGAGAGGGGTAAACATGTCTGAGGGTCTGCCATACCGGAAACCTCACGTCCCGCGTGGTGAAACTGGTGATCTTGACCATCTTGTCTGATTGAGGCGGGGTCAATTGGAAATATTCCAGGTCTGTGAATTGCAAAAGAAACCCCCGTCGAGGGGACGATGGATGATTATATAGCGGGGGAGGGGACTGGCCTCTCCCCCATTTCCCCTCCACGTCGTGTGGGGAAACCCCGCCCGATTGGCGGAGGAATTGTGGCTGGCCGTGGGATGGGTTTCTCCGCCACTCACAGCTCTTCTGGATTCAATCAACTTCAATCCAGGCCTTAAAGTGAGTGATTTTTTTCCTGGAGGCCCGCGTGACTGTCAGTGGATATTCTGGCGTGGGGGAAGAGTAAGGCTAAGATGAGCTTGATGTGTTACGAGGGAAGCAGGAATCTGCTGCGACATGATATAAGTTACAGAGTAGGTTGGGACAGATGCGGGAATGCAATGCAATGCAACACGCCCTTGCGCAAGAAGTAGTTTTTAGCACGAATACGCCGCGATCCAGTTCATTTGGTTCATTTTGTGACTCATGACAGTACTGGACCCCAAGAAAACAATGAAATCTTTCGTCTACCCGGAAAGACCTCTCTTCTCGCTCTCCGAGAAGAAGATAATCATCCGCCATAGCTTCCGGACCAACACCTCTGCCTCTTCGTCGAGAGCCTAGTGGTATCCAGTTAGTTAAGAGCAAACAACGAATCTCAGTTAGATAACTTACCTCCTCCAGCTGTTCCACCAGCTCTTGAGGTTGTCCATGCTTTCGAACATGTTCCTCGACCACTTCCACCAACATCTGTTCCTGCACGCCCAGGTATTCGACAATTTTCTTTTCCACAAAAGGCTTGAGCTGTTCGGTGACCACACTCTCGTCCACAAACTCCCACTTGACATCCCAGTTCCAGAGTCCCTCCTTGTCCGTGGGGATCTCCGCAGCCAGTTGTCGGGCGACTTGTGCGCGTTCCTCGTCGGACAGGCCAGCCGCTTCGGCAGCACTGTCGAACTTGATGGGGATAAGAGGTCGTCTGGCGGTGGCCTGTGGCTCCTCTTCGTCTTCCAGCAGGCCTTCGACCTCCGCAATAGTGCGGCGGGAGGTGGCAGCTTGAGCCTTCTGCGCGGCTGCGCCGAGAGAAAGCTTGAATCGCTGGGGTTCGCGGGGAGCCTGGGTACGTGACTCCAGCTCTTCGGCCTGCCGAGCGAGGAAGTCGTCTGCCATGCCGCGGGCCTGCTCCCGTTGCTGCACGGACCGGGCCCGTTCTCTTTCTTCCGCCGCCCGATCCGCTTCGTCCATGCTGACCTCCCGGGCTCGGAATGCCGCCCGGCTGCGGAGCCATGCACCCCGATCGGCATAATAGTCCTCCAATTTGCGGTTGGCCTCAATATCATCATTCCATTCCCGATACCGCTTGTCCATCTCATCGCGCACCTC